CGTCTGGTACTTTCCTATTGTATCACACACACACACACACACACACACACTCTGAGGCTGGACCTCCCAGATTTTGGGCTCTGAATCCCCTACTCCTTCTCCATCGTGGGCAGCTGCAGGTTCCCATGTGGGTCCAAGGCTGTGTCGGCCTCAACTCTGCCTCCCTGATGTCTGCCCTGTGTTGCCCTGTGTTATGTTTCCGTGACTCTCTGTTCTGGCTCTGAATCTCACCCCTAGGAGGGCTCCCTTCGTATCTCGGAGCGACCAGCCATTCCAGATAGCTCTGGCTAGATTAGATCCTAGGCCCTTCTTAGACTTAACCCTTTGGGATCTGGCTCAGAACTGGTAGTGGGTGGGAGTGTCCTAGAAAAGTGTGGAGAAGGAGATGAGCCCACTAGGGGAACCTAACCCTGTCCACCGTATCCCCACAGGACAATGGAGCCCCTTACCCAGCTCCTGCTTCTGTGCATAGCCCTGATCTCAACAGCGAAGGAAGGTGAGTCTAAAGAGTGGAGAGGACAGAGGCTGGCCTTGGTGGGGGGAGGCAGCAGGACAGCTTCTAGCCAGACTCCCAATCTCAACTGCCATGGTGCTAGGCAAAAGGTTAGCCACTGACCAGTGTGTATATACGTGTAAATATCCAGGGTTGTATATATGCATGAGCAGCCTCAGAGCTCAAGCTTCCAAACACCCGAGTTATCTATGCACCCGGACTCTCCCCAGAGAAGCCAGCCTCCCCCAGGGTGAGAACCCCTTTTAACATCAGGTCACACCAAGCATAACAGGGCCAGGGAGTGAATCTGGGGCAAAAGATAGCCACGTGGGCACGCAGGCAGAAGCAAGGCTCACCATCATGAGTAACAACAGCTCATTTCTAGAACACAATAGTCTGGTGAGGCCACCAGGTCAGGGATTATTAGCCTCGTTTTATTAATGGGGAAACTGAGGCCCAGAGAGGCGAGAGAACTTGTTTAGCTTTCCATAGTGAGTGAGTGATTTGTCAGACCTTGGATTAGGACTCAGGCCTCTTGGCTTTTTTTTTTTCTCTCCACTGAGACAGGAAGGGATAAAGGGTTAGGCCCCCTCCTCCAAACAATAAATGGAGAGTCTGGTGCCCAGAAAGTCCAGTTTCCTGTCTAGAGGGACATAGCCAGTTATAGGCTGGAGCTCTCATCCCTGAAAAAGGATGTCTTTAGCATTCTCTAGTTCATCTCCCTAACTCCAAATCATTGTATCTTTGCAGAAGCTCCGAAGGAAAGAGACCCATTTACATATGGTATGAGTGTGAGTCTGTTTTGGGGTCTGTCCCTAACCCATGTGTTAGCACTCTCTTTCTCTCTCTCTCTCTCTCTCTCTCTCTCTCTTTCTCTCTCCCTCTCTCTCTCTCTCTCCCTCCCTCGCTCCCTCTCTCCTTCTTCTTCTTCTCTCTGTCTCTGTCTCTCTGTCTCTGTCTGTCTCTCTCTCTCCGTCTCTCTCTCCCCGACTCCTCACTCCTCATTCTTTCCCCTTTCTCAGACTACCAGTCCCTGAGGATTGGAGGGCTAGTTTTTGCTGGCATCCTCTTCATCCTCGGCATCCTCATCATCCTCAGTAAGTCTTCCTCAATACCCATGGGACAAGCTGGGGATGGTGGGGACCAGAGTGGGGGAGGTGTATGAAGGAATGATCCCACACACATCGGTGAGGACATTCACCCTGTGTAAACACTCGTTTGGGTATCTGTCATCTCCCAGATAGAATGTAAACTCCTTGAAGGCAGGCACTGCATCACTTTTTTGTCTTTGTATCCCCATTGCCTGGCACATGGTAGGCACTTAATACAAACTGACTGATTGATTGATTGATCCCCACCAGGCCGCAGATGTCGCTGTAAATTCAACCAACAGCAAAGGTAAGTGATGTGCTCTGTACCCTCCCTTTACCACACCATTCCCTCAGCTGTCCCTTTGTCTCTACAAAGTTTTCCATCTTCATCACTCTGTCCACCTTTGGCCTTTTCCATCTATATGTCTAACTTTGTCTGACGTTTTATCTTCTCCTTCCCACCTCTTGATTATTTCTCCTTATTGTCTGTCTGTATCTCTTTGTATTTTTGTCTGTCTCCATCTGTCTCTCACTAGTTTTCATCTGCACTCCATTCTCCACCTTCATTTCTAACTTTCTCTGTTTTTTAATCTCTATCTCTCCACCTTGGGTTGTCTTTGTCTTTCCACCTGTGTCTTTCTCTACCTTTATTTCTGACACCAATTTCATTTCTAACATTCAGTCTCTGACTTTTTTTTTAAATTATGAACTCAACACACATGACATTTTAGTGCAAAGGAAGGAAAAAAACTATACGTGAAACTATGAACTGTGATGTAGTTTTTTTTTTACTTTGTCATCCCATCTCTTTCCATCTCTGCTTCTGACTCCATCTTGATCTCACCTTTTCTCTGTATTTAATCGGATTTTCATCGCTGTCTCTCTACTTCTGATTTTCTCTCTCGGTCCATTTCTGTCTCCCTCCATTTCTCTCTCTAACTTTGATTCTCTCTGTCTCCATTTCTATCTTGCTGCATCTCAAATTCTATTTTCATCTTTATCTCTGATGCATCTTTTAATTTTTCTCCATCCTGGACACACACACACACACACACACACACACACACACACAATCTCTTTCTCTCTCTGTGTTTCTCTCTTTGTCTTCTTTCTTCTCTGCTCTCTGTCTCTGTCTCTCTTCTCTCTCCCTTTTCTGTTCTCTCTGTCTCTTTCTTCTCTCTCCTTTCTGTTCTCTCGTCTCTGCCTCTCTTTTCTCTCTTCTTTCTATTCTCTATCTCTGTTTCTTTCTTCTCTCTCCCTTTTCTGTTCTCTCTGTCTCTGCCTCTCTTTTCTCTCTTCTTTCTGTTCTCTCTGTTTCTTTCTTCTCTCTCCCTTTTCTGTTCTCTCTGTCTCTCTTCTCTCTCCCCTTTCTGTTCCCTCTGTGTCCCTCTTTTCCTCCATTGCTTCCCTAACATGGTTCTTTTTGCCTTTCTCCCACTTCCCAGAACTGGGGAACCCGATGAAGAAGAGGGTACTTTCCGCAGCTCCATCCGCCGTGAGTTTGCTTTTGGAAGCCCTTCCCTGAGGAGCCCCACTTAGAGAAGGGGGTGTGGTCATTCGGGGGAGATCACTGGCTGCCTCAGAACGGTGCAGAGGAAACCCCTTCCCCGGGAAGATGCTTGGCTGGGGGACGAGGGTGGGCAGAGATGAGACCCGGGGAGGGAAATTTCCCAGATGGCCTTCCAGATGACACCCTCCCCCAACTCTGCGTTCCCTCCCCAGGCCTGTCCAGCAGAAGGCGGTAGGAGCCTGAGATGAAGTCAGAGAGACTGACCAGGTAATAAGTCGTTATCGGGGAGAGGAAGGGCAAGAAGTGGGGATGTCAGGGTCCTGCAGCCCAGTGGCTGAGGGTCAATACCCCCTTTGCTCTGCCTACAGGTCCCTCTCCGGATCTAACCCTCCCCTCCCATCCACTCTCCACAGGTTTCCCTGGGTTCCTGCCCGCTCTCCCACTCCCACGGTGCCCCCAGCACCTCCAAACCTGTAATAAAGGCCAGTCTTCTTCCACGCGCCGTCAGTGTCTCTGTCCCACAGTCGGGTCCGGTCGCCTGAGTCCCCGAGAGACTGAAGCTCCCTCTCTCTCCCCACTAGGAGGCGCCCCCGCCCACGGACTCCGCAGACACTCGAGGCGGGGACTTGGGCTTGCATGTGGGAGGGGGAGGGGTCGCCTAGGGGAGGCGGGGGCGGGGAGCCCGGGAAACCCGCCTCCGTCCCCCCCACGGAGCCCCCATTGGCTGCAGTGTCCGCCTCCGCCCTTTCCACCGCCCCCAACCCGGAGGTCTCTCTCGCGTCCCCCCCTTCCAAGTCTGCCCCCCTCCCCCAGTCAGATCTGGGCTCCCTCTGCAGCTGCCGCTTCTGCCTTCCGCGCCCCCGGCCCAGCCATGGTGACCCCCGGGCCCGTCACACAGGGTGAGAAGGAGCGAGGCCCTGCCAAGCCCGCAGTCACAGGGGACCCCAGCCAGGAGAATGGAGGAATGGGGGACCCTGTCAAGGGGAATAAGGGAAGTGGACTCCTGGTCTAGTGGGTATGGGGGAGCAGGGAAGACGACAGGGGACCCCATTATAAGAGAGTGGAAGAAGCAGGAGTCCCATTCTAGTGGGTCTGGGGAGGGATGGAGGGAGGGCACCTGGGGAGGTCTGGACGAGTAGGAGAATGAAAGAGACCCCATTGTGGGGCTAGAGCGGAAGGGGACCCAGTTTGGTCCGAGGAGAGAGGGTTAGGGGGGATTCTGGTCTGAGGGGATGGAGAGAGCGAGGACCCTGGTCTGGTGGGGCTGGAGGGGAGAGAGCCTGGCCTCCAGAGGAAAGACGACGGGCAAAGGGATTCTTATCAGGGGCTGAGAGGGGAGCATGGCGGGGGAGGTGGGTGAAGGGGGAGAGCTTCTGGCAAATGGGGAGATCATCCCTGGGGAGGAAGGGAGGAAAAGGAGGATGTCAGTGGCCCTGAATATCGTAAACTGGATAAATGTTTGCTGAATGAATGAGTGACTGATCTGAGCCGTAGCCATGGCAACTAGATGGTCCAGCCCCTGGGGGAGTGCAGCGGGAAGGTGTTTTCTGTAAGGAGGGCCTGTGATACTGTGGAGGATGTCTAAGTGTGCGCGGGAGTGTGATTACTTATTGGGGTGGGGGTGAGGGAGACATCCAGGGCTATGCAGGTGCACGACCCTGGGAATGGCATCTGTCTCTGTCACTGGCTCCGTTTCCATCAGCGTCTCACGAGGGTTTCTGACCCGTGGGCGGGGGCGGGTGTGAGGGGTGGTGGGTAGGTGAGATGAGATGTTACTGTTGATCATTTCCACCGGCTAAAGGGCCTTGGTTGGACAAATACAACCCTAAGGGGAAGAGAGAGCTGGTGCTTGAGAAAGGCGGAAAGACAGAGGCAGATACAGACTCTGAGCCTAAGAAAAAGACAGAGACTGGGGCGGGGGGCGGGGAAAAGGAGAGTGCATGCGGCGGGGACTGCGTGCCTGCAGGGGCTGTAAGCCGCAGTGACCCCACCCATGGAGGGGAGGGGAGGGACCGGAGCTGAGAGGACCCTCCCCTCTGCTAAGCCCTGGGAGTGGGGGTAGGAGAGCCTTCCTCCGGGGTGTGTCCGTCGCCTCAGGCTCACTCGGGTCACTTGGGGTCGCAGTGTTTGAATACAAACCCTCCCGCAACATTCCACATATTCCCCGCAACCCGCGGCTTTCCCGGACCACGGAGTCCCAAGTTTGCGGCAGCCTCCCAAACCTGGGACGCTCAGATGCTCATGACTGTGGGGTAGGGTGGGGTGGGAAGAGCCCGGGGAGAAAGCTCTCGCACCTCGACCCAGGAGAAGAGAGGGGCGATGAAGAAGGTTATAGCTCCGTGGAAGGTGGAGTTGCATGGGTGCGGGGCGGGGGGGGGGCGGGGCGGAGGGGCGGAAGGGGAGGAGGCCCCGCCCCCCCCGCCCCCACCCCCTGCACACGCACACCAGAGTCTTTTCTCCCCAGCTCCTCCTTGCCCAGACCCTTCTCCCCTACAGAGCCCACCCCCCTCCCAGAAACTCCTCGTGCATCTTCTCCAGACATCTGTCTGGCTGGAACCCAGAGACAGCAATTTCCCGGAGATGCTGGTTTGTTCTGATCGATGACCAAATGGGCCTACAAAGACCTCACACCAAAGGAGCCCAAACCTCATCCCAACCCAACATCATCTGAGGGGAATCTCAGGTCTCAGGAAATCCACGGGGAGGGAGGAAGCCACATGTTCTGTCCTGCAGTCACTGAGAAAGCTCATTTTCAGAGAGGTGAGAGGTGACATGGGGGAAGAGCAAAAGGAAAGGCTTTGCCCGTGCCATCCTCATCCATGTGGAGAATCTGGGGGTTCCAGAGTGAGCTGTCCAAATCTCCTTCCCCATACTCTTCCCTCCTAGACTACCCACTTACCCAAGGTTGGGAACAAAAAAAGGTTAGAGGCTCTGTGGGTTGGGGCAAGACAAAGCAAGGATTCTTGGGCTCTGAGAATGAATGAAGAATGGAGGTGTCTGACCACCTTGCCCCCTCCCCCCCAGGCCCTTCCCCTATCCCTAGCCTCCCCTCCCCCATCCCACTCCTTCCCTTTCAGAATGTCCCAGTTGCTGCAGCAACCCCCTCCTTCCCTAGCTTCTCCTTGGCAACGGGCCTGTGGTAATGCATCCCTTCTCCTTGCTCCACCCCCTAGCGAAGCTCCATCCTGAGGGGCCTCATCCTTCCACCTTTCCTGAGCTTTGGGGAATAATGCAGCTGGGATGGAGATGAAATCTTAGAGAGGAGAAGCCCTCAGTACCAAAAATTGATCCTCAAGATTGTATTCTACACTCGGGAAACTGGGAAAATGAGCTCCTAGAATGGTGTGGAGCCTAGTCTCTTAGAATATGAGAATCCTATGCTCACAGAACCCTAGACTCTAAGAGCTGAATAGGACTTCAGAAAAGTGGCTAGTTCCCCTTCCCAACTCATGGGGAAACCTCTCTCCAGACTGCCCGATCATTGGTGCTAAGCATCCTGAGGAGGAGATCTGAGTCATACTCCTCTCCCATCTGAGCTGGCAGAAGCTCGGGAACCCTCAGACTGAGGGGAGAGGCTAGAGATAAATACACATAAAACACAAGGCAGGAGTCACAGGGAGGGAACTGGGGTGGGGTGGGGAGAATCTGGGGACAAAGCTCCCACAGGGTGGGAGGAAGAAAGTATAGTGGCGAGAGTAGTGGAGATTAGAGTCAAGAAAACCTGGCTTGGAATCCTGCCTTACATCTATGTGTCCCTAGGAGGGGAAAAAAAAGTCTCAGTTTTCCCCATTGGTGAAATGGGGATATCTTTGCAAACCTTAAAGCATTATATGACTGTGAGTTATCTTCGTTACTGGATGAAGGATAAAGGTGGAAGCCAGAAAGACTTCCTAGAGAAAGAGGAGATTTTGAACTGGGTCTAGGGAGATGAAACAGAGGAAATTAGGTAGAAGTGTAAGATGAAACAGGTTTACTGAAATCAACCATGCCTGAAAAAATTTCTATGGCAAATAGTCCATCCACAAGTATTTCTTAAGCACCTGCTACTCGGTAGGAGCTTTGGTGGGTACCAGGACACAAAGACAAAAATGAATCAATCCTTGCCCTCAAGGAACTTGCATTCTGTCAGGGAAGATAACATTATAGATGGACCAACAGACAGACAGACAAATACAAAGATAAATAGATAGATGACAGAGAGATATGGATAGATACATAGATGGATGGATGGATGATAGATGTAGGTAGATAGATAAATAGATGGATAGATAGGTGTAGATAGAGAATCAGACAGATAGATGGATGGATGGATGAATACAGAGACAGGAGATAGAAGAGAGATTGAGAGATGTTGAATAGAAGATATTGGATTGATAAATAGAAGACAGAAATACATGGAAGACAGAGACAGAGCTATGTGCATATACAATGGACCTAATATCGATGCATATATAAGCTCTGTAAAATATATTCAAAATAAATACAAGTTAATTTTAGCAGGAAGTTGCTAGCCACTAGGGGGATGAAACTGAGCTGAATCTTTAAATAAATCAGAGATTCCAAAAGGTGGCGCAGAGGAAGGAGTGCTTTCCTGGGCTGGGGGACTGTCAATGCAAAGTCAGGAGATGGGAAAGGGAGCATTGTATGCGAGAGACAGCAAATAGGCCAGTTTGGCTGGACCACAGAATGAGTGGAGAGGAGTAATGAGGTAGCCAAGTCACCTACTTGGAGCTCTGGACTTGGAGTCAGGAAGACCTAAGCTAAAATCCTGCCTAGACTATTACCAGCTGGGTGACTCTGGGCAAGTCACTTACCCTCTGTCTGCCTCAAATCTAAATGCATAATCTGTAAAATGGAGATCATCATAGCACCTCTCTCCCAGGGTTGTGAGGATCAAATAAGACAGTATCTGTAAAGTACTATAGAAATGCTAGCTAGAAGGGTCCTTAGAGAACATGGAGTCCAGCCTCATTTTACAGGTGAGGAAACTGATGTCTAGATTGGTTAAGTAAATTGCCTAGGTTCCTGTAGTCAGGGGTGGGGAACCTATCGAGGCCACATGTGACCTTGAGGCTGCAGGTTCCCCACTCCTGCCATAGCTGGTAAGTAGCAGAACCAGGATCTATCCTGTAGCGTCAGGGATGATGAGGAGGAGGAGACAGAGAGGCCCTCCCTGGTATTCTTAGGTCTCACTCTCTCTCTTTCTCTCTCTCTTCTCTTTTTTCTCTCTCTCTCCTCAGCCACTTCTCAGGAACCTGACCGTTTCTACTATGGTGAGTTGGGAATATGGTGGGAGGGGGGCTTGAGGGAGTCACAGGTAATGAGGCCCAGCCCTCTCAGTCAGCCAGAAGGAGAAACACCAGGCTTGGCAGATAACCCAAATATCTTTCCAGCCTGCCCCTGGTCTACATCCTGTTGGCTTGGATTTGCCTGGGAGGTTTCCCGCCCCCTGAAGTTATTCTGGGCTCAGACTACTGTTAAAACAAACATAGTGGGGTTTTTTCAAGGCCACATCAGCTAATTTGAAGAGGGCAGCCTAAAGCAGAGAACATCTAGGAGTGGGAAGTGGGGTACCTACTCAGGGAAAGATGGAACAGCTTCATCTCCTTTCTGTGTTAAATTCAAATTCTCAGTTCAGGCCCTACCCCGCCCCCTACTCCCATGAGGTCCCATTTGATAGATGAGGAAACTGAGGCCCACAGAAGTTGGGTGAAAGCATGGTGGAAGCTTGGGGAGGGGGGCTGGTGAAGAGTCTACATACAGGTGGGTCACCGCATGTGCTGTTTCCCTTTTCAGACTATGACTCTGTTCGTATCGTGGGACTTACTCTGGCTACTATCATGTTTGTGCTGGGCATCCTCATTATACTCAGTAAGTGTCTTATCATTACCTGCACAGAACCTACCCTTGAGACCCCTAGGACAAGCCCTCCTTCAGCTCCCAGTCCAGAGCCCCTCCCATAGATCTCTGGCTCCCTTATACAAGCCCTCCTTCCTCAAACCACAGCATCCCCACCCCAGGGGTTATGGGGCAACCATGCTGAGTTTGGGTGGGTCCCTTCCTGACTATTTTCCCTGGCTCCCAACTCTAATCTCAGATGTTCTTCTTTCCATCTTCCCATTTCTCATTCCACAGGCAAGAAAGTGAAGTGTAGGAAGTCAGACTCCAGGTCAGAAGGGTCTTTGGGGGGTTAGGGATGAGGGTGGGCTTCTTCTGTTTCCCCTCAGTCTCTCTATCTGGCTTGTACTCTCCCTCTGTGCCCCTCTGTGTCTACTTCTGTTTTTCTCTCTTTCTGTCTCTCCATCTGCCTCTGTCTCTGTTCCTCTCTGTCTGCTTCTATGTCTTTCTACCCCTGTCGCCTTCCTTATCTGTCTCTGCCTATATGCCATTGTGTCAGGTCTCCCTCTGTCTCTGTGTCTCTTCTGCCCCTGTCAGTCTCCATGTCTCTGTCTCTCTCTCGGTCTCCTTACTGTTTCTTCTCATTCCTTTCTTCCTGCAGTCCGACCATTAAAAACTGTAAGTTTCAATTCTCATCATTAGGAAGTGTATGTGTGTGTGTGTGTGTGTGTGTGTGTGTGTGTGTGTGTGTGTGTGTGT